TACATTTTCTTTCTACTAATATTTAAATTACAGATGAATGTGATTGAATCATAAATAAAAACAAAGAATTTTTTAAATATATAGAATTACATTTCTGAATGACTACCAGCCGTCAAATGAAAGTTCATGTTTCACCTTTTTTACTTCATTTTTTTTCAGTTTTTATCAAGTCATCAAGCTAATGTTTGTGGCTTGCATACTTGTCTCCTATCCTTTACAATTTTACGTCCCAATGGAACGAATTGAGAAGTGGATCAAGCGAAAAGTACAGTCAGGCTTTTGTTCCTTTGGTGTATACTTTTACTTCAACAATATCCGCTTTAGGTAGCTGTTGAACGTCAAGAGAAACTCATTTATGGTGTCCGAATGGGTGGAGTTATTTGCACTTGTAAGTTTTCGTCCGCTTAATTCATTTTATTCAAAAAATTTTCTCAACTTTAAGGCCTAGTCGCTGAACTTATTCCGCATTTGGCGCTATTTATCTCACTTGTTGGTTCGGTGGCTGGCACTTCTCTAACGCTTGTATTTCCACCAATGATCGAGTTATTGTGCTCATACTCAAAGTAAGGTTACTTCTGTTGTTTATTCTGGGATAGAAAAATTTTCACCAAATTCTAGGGACTCTCTAACACCGTGGATCTGGATTCGAAACATTTTTCTGATGCTATTTGCTCTGTTCGGCTTTGCAACCGGCACCTACGCCAGTATTGTACAGATTGTGGAAGCATTTGGAAAGCCAGATGTCTGATTGCAGAAAATTGCAGAAATTGAATACGGAAATTTTCAAGAATCAAGCCGTAGTGCAAAAGATGCATATTGATACTTTGCCTGTTACCATCATCACCTCCATTTCTTGTTGAATGCTAGTCTACCAATTATCCTTGTTGTGTTGTTGTATTACATTGTTTTATGAAAAAAAAAACTTTCAAAGAATTCTATGTCTGCCAATTAGTTTTACTTCTAAAAAAATAAGCAGAAGCCATTGCCAGTTTTCAAAACTTTACAATCATAAGCAAAATCACTTAGTTAG